AGAGAAACAGCGGGCTAATTGATGGTTTAAATTTTTTTTTTGGTAAAGTATTGAAAGTTTTGAAATATAGATTTATATTTAAATATAACAATATTTGATGTTTAAATAGTTTAAATAATGGGAACCTGTGATTCAGATACAAAGCTGACAGGGATCAGGGACAAGAGATCGTAGCGAAAAGGAGAAGCCGGGCTCAGCGAGTCCATCCCTGCAGTGTAAGGTAAGGCAGGTTCATGTGCAGAAGCTGGAGAGCTGAGGCACAGACCTGCACTGAGCAGGGGATCAGAAGACGCTGAGCAGGGGATCGGGCAGGAGGATAATCAGGCACCCGGGGAAAAACAAGGGTCAAGAATGATGCAAATTTAAGAATGACAGAAATGAAGTGCAGCTGTTGTAATCACAAGTTCCCACTATTTAAACATGAAATATTGTTATATTTAAATATAAATCTATATTTCAAAACTTTCAATATGTGGGAAGATGGTGGCGCAGGAGATAGTGCTATTGTTCAGCAACTTGAGGGTTGCCGGTTCGAGCCCTGGTTCCTCCTGTCTCCATCAAAGTGTCCTTGAGCAAGACACTGAACCCCCAATTGCTCCTGGTGTGCAGGTTGGCGCTTTGCATGGCAGCCTCCGCCACCGGCGTGTGGATGGGTGAATGTGAGGCACAAATTGTGAAGTGCTTCGAGTACTCGTAAGAGTAGACAAGCGCTATATAAATGCAGTCCGTTTACCATTTTACTAGGCAAAGGGGCGGGGCTGAAAGGGGCGGGGCTGGAAGGGGCGGGGCTGGAAGGGGCAGGGCTGCAGTACAGGTGGTGAGCTGGTGTAGCAGAACCCAGCCTTACAGCACCCCACACCAACACCCCCTGGCGACTCTCGGCGCTAGCGGCCGATGCTGTGAGGCCCATGTGTAGGGTGGTCCAGACGCAGATAGTGGTAATCTTAAATCGACGACAGGTCCGGAATGTCTGGCTCTGGTACCAAAGACTGCTCATTAGGGCTGCTATACGTTTACATGCACAGCTAAGTCAAGCTACAGTTATACCTCGACTACGCCATTAAATCGGACTACTGTCCTCGTCCCAGTATGCATGCATGGGAGGGGAATCAATTTAATGACCAAAGTATGTTCAACTCCGCTACAATAGGTGGCGATATGGCTTCTTTTGACTTGTTAGTAATGGGATTTTTCCCATTGACCTATTATACCACAGATGTAAAAAAAAAATAATAAAATTAATAACAATTGATACGTGGACAAATGTAGTGACACAAGCTTTAATTGCAATCTGGTCAGGATAGCATAACAAGAAATAAAGTATTTTGTATAATATATTCTGACAGCACAGTATTGGAAAATTTTCAAATATTGTGGTTTTATTGATGGGCCGAATGGCCCCCTCTCGTTTGTAAATTTCTTATGTTCTTATTGTAATAAATATTGGGCTATTGGCCCAGGCCACCCGACAGCTGCCTGCTGTCACTGACCAGCTCCCTGCTCTTTATCTCCTCTCAGGCCTTCCTGAAATCTCTCTCTCCCAGTGATGTGGACATTTTAAGTTCTTCATAACATTCTACCAGATAAAGGTCTTTATTCAACAGTCTGCAGTGCAACACAAAGCAGACGTGTGTGTGTGGGCGGGGCTTTGATGACAAAGGAGAAGAGCCCATTAGCTCTTTCTTGCGCCCTCCTGATTCCAGAGACCAATCAGCATATACTGCACATTCTTTGGTAGCCAATCAGCATAAAC